GATTTCCTCTTACGATAGATTCCGTATACGAGAAAAGCTGCTAACGTCAAAGCAACTGCCACTCCTATGCATATACCGGCGATAACTCCGGCATTGCTACCTGCTTAAAGATCAAACCTTTTCATCTGTAGCTTCTCTGTCAGAAACTCAGCTAAATCATGGAGGAATCTTTGAAAGCTCAAACCTTTTTTGCTGCAAAAAGGAGACACATTCAGGAGATTTACATTAGCATAAGTGGTTAGAAGAATCAATCTGATAAAAAACGAAAACCGCGAATATATACCTCGACTTGAAAGGCGGAAATGCACCGTTTGGATCTACACGCAAAGACAGAAAAACACAAACTCTTCATGAGAATCAAGAACTAAGATCAAACTTGCAGATCATTCATGGCCAAATTCGATCAAAACCGACAGGATTACCTTTGCCCGGGACATAAACAATCCCTGTCCCTGCATTGAAATCAACATTGGGGTTATACCTCTGCAGAGTCTCGGCTGGAACACCAGAAGATCTTGCTATCGAACTCAAACTGTCTTCAGGACGAAGTGGGTAAGTGACGAACAAGCCGTAATCTTTCGAAACCGCTCCGTCTCCGCACGAGCAGTTCACCGTCACGTTGAGCGTCCCGGTGTCGGGAATATTCGTATCCGGGTAACTGTTCGTGCTCCGCAGTAACTCCGTCGTCGTCAGGTTCGCGTAGCGGACACGCGCCACCGCATCGTAGGTGTCTTCCCTTCGGACACGGTAAGTGAAAGTGTAGCCGAGGAAATCGCCGGGGAGACACTGGCAAGGGAAAGGGACGAGGATTCTGGAACCGATCTGGATCAAGTCCTTGTTCTTGATTTCGCTGTTGTATCTCAGGATCGGGTCGAAATTGATCCCGTCGAACGGGGCAATCGGCGAATCGAGCGCCTGATTGATGACCGTGAGGGATGATCCATTCCAAGCGTAATACGAGGCGAGAGCGAAATCGCAGGAAGCTCTGCACTTTGATTCCGCAGCGAAGAACAGATACGGTGACAGCAGAAAAGGAACGAGCAAAAACCCTAAACCCTTGAATCTGGGAAACATCATCGTCGGGATTGAACGAAATTGACAGACCCAAGAGACCAGATCGCTGTGTTCATGCGTTGTCGGAGAGAATTGCGAGATGGAAGGCGGTGACTTCGAGCTAATGTTTCGGTTCTTGCCGTTGACTGAGTTCAACTCTGGGGAAATGGGCTCAGATTAGATGTAATTCGATGATTAGATTGATTGATTAATTAATTATTGATTAAAGAGTAAATGATACGTTTTTATTTGAATATATAGTCAAGGACTCAAGGTTAAGGGTGGCATAAGAATTCTCCGGTCAAAGATGGCGCCTGATTGCCGCCATTTTCTCATACAAATATAATTTGTCTTCTTAAGTCGGTTCAATAATAATATTCGAAATACATTTATTATATTTTAAAAATAATTGGATTCAAATAGTATAATTAAATATTAATAAATTAAATAAAAATATTTTTAAAAAATTAAATAGTTTAAAAATAAAAAAAAATCAAACTTTACCAGGTTTAATCAAATCAAAAATCGACTTAAAAACTTATAAATATATTTTTTTGAAAATAAAAAGCTTGAATAAAAGTAAAAAATAAAATAAAATAACCCAAAATACCCAATAGAAAAATTTTAAAAGAATTTGGACAGAGATAGATAATTGAATAATGGTTGTAACATAAATTTTCTAAGGAAGATTAACGTTGTGTTTAAGCACTCTGATTCCCCAACTGAGTTCAATGGCCACTTCCGACAGTTGACCGATGTCTCTAGTCAACGAAGATCGGTCAAAGTTTAACACTTCAATTCTCCGAAAATTGAAATCAATACCCAGAGAAAAACAGAGGAACATAGCCACACACATGATTTGTGGGATGAAAAGAAGTAACACCACATGCGAAAAAAGAAAGTACAACTGCATAAAATACCAGAGTGTCCAGTTTGAATTAACTTGCAAGTTGGGGGTTTTTTTAGATTTTTAAAAAAAAGCTAAAATTTTTGGATGACGACAGAGTTGCCAATACCCGCCTGCTCAATGGTCTGATCCAAATCGGCGAGCTGTTTAGGTGGGAACCCCATTGTCAGCAACTGGTAACCTCTGTTCCCGCCTGGTCTGGACGCCTCTATGAAGGCTCGGACGTCTCTGACAGTGTGATGGATGTTAAAGCGGGAGACGAGGCGTGTGCCGTCGGCTAACCTGAGCTGAATGGAGGTCGTTGGAGCTGAAGGGTCTATCACTAAGCCCATTGACGGAGGTGGTGCGGTGTTGAGAGGGGAAGCCGGTGGCTCCGAAGTGGTGGAGCCAGAGGACGGCGGGTTGGCGGCTCCTAGGGTTCTTCCCACACCCTGGAATGGTGGTGGAGGGGCCTGGCCCTTTCGTGGTTCCTGTGTCAGAGAATGAGACAGAGCGAGTTTTATAGCTTCGATGATCCGGAAAGGAGAGGATTTGAAAGAGAAGAAAATGAAAAGACGGTACTGTGAAATTTTCTTCACGTCTGATGAGGTCAACATGGACACGGATCCTCCTGTCAGTTGGCTCGAGTTCTTGAGGACATTCTGATCTCGAGATGCTCTGTAGTGACAAGCAACATATGTCATATAAAAACCCTAGACCCTAAATCCAACCCTTGAGTGATTCCAACCAAATTCGAGTAGGGAACATATGTCATATAAACCCGTCTAAGCAATTCGAGTGGACCAAGATGACGAAAGGCCCAGACCCTCAAATCATTTGCCGCTTCCGGAGAAAATACATCAGAGAGAAAACAAGCTGAATTCAGTAAACTAGTTAACACATTCCGATCTCACCTTAAATCATATATATACATATACGTCGGACAATACAGCATACACAGGTCAAATAGAGAGAGAAGGATTGAATGTAATACCTCCAAAAAGGATGCATTCGCCGGATCATCCAACCTCCTTAATGGACCATCATCAACAGTGAAGCCGTTCCTCCAGAAAGTGATAGTGTGCATGATCACTTGAGGCTGGTCTTGCTGCTGCTGAGGCGAAGATGAAACCGTTTCTCCAGACAATAATCGCGCAGTTCCAGTGAAGCTTCTAAAAGTTGATCTCGATGGGTCAACGGGTCTTTCTACAGCTGAATGCCTCGCTTGATCGAATATCTCATCAACATCTTTAGCTTTCTTCAGATCTTGGACAAGCATCCCACTGAGCACAGACATAGTTCAGACCTTAGTTAGATAAAGAGACAGATTTCATCTGATACAAGCATCTGCTGCATTTCCAACAGGATTCAAGGCTGTAAAGACTCAACAATACCCAAAAATTAGTAAAAAGATGAAATCTTTTTAATCATCCTATGTTCCTCGTCCGCCGGAATACAGTATCTTGAGCTTGTAGGCGGAAAATCTTCAAATTTAGAAAGTATGAATCGCTCCTTCAGAAAGCATGATCGGAGCTTTACATTGTTCAAGCACGTACCATGATTACTCCCTGATGGTCATGCGCTAAATTTTGCTTAACTTTCGAGTCTAAGAAAATAGTTCGCGAGGCCAAAATTCAATTTGGGTACTTGCGAGGAGCAAAAATCTGGAGAAACCGTGAAGCTTGGAGAAAGAATTACCTCTTCTCTCCACCGGTGTAGTACTCTTCCGCATCATCGGAATCACTCCCGGCTCCGTCAGGAGGCGAGCGGTCGACAGTT